AGGCAAATTAGCGGCATGCATATGCACCGAGCCGACCGGAAAGGGATACGGACGTGTGCAGGGGAAACGTCAGTTTTTCCTAACTGCATTGGTATTATGCGCGCTGTATGATCGCGTTGCGTTTCATCGTGGACGATTATCGAACGGCTGCGGGTATCTTCGTAAGCGATCGCATGAATGAAGTGTATGCGGTAGCACCATGATGCGTCGATTCGCGGATTATGTAACACCCAGCGTCGGCTGGATCGTGAGATTTCAATGCTCGAAATGAGGCAGAAGCGAAAAAAGGAACTGTGTGATCGAGAGACTGGTATAACAAATTGTTTTATTAACTAAAATGCATCAACAGAACATTTTTAAAAAATCATGTACAGATTAATTGACGAATTAGGTGAAACTAAAAAGTAAAAAGTTTAACATAAGCTACCATGTATATTTTAATTTTTTTACATGTTTCTTTGATGATGATATAAAATTCAAATTTTCTTTCAATAAAATAAGACTGTAAAAAAATTAGATATAGTTATGATAAGATTCCTAATTACGTAATGCGCAAAAATTTTTACTATTTTTATATGATTTATTCTTTACGATGCAATAATGAATGCTTGTGACTAAGAGAAATATATGTTTCTCTTGAAGCGATAACGCGAAGAAGTGCTATTTGGCAACAGATTTTAAGCGAGAACACGAGCATATCGGAAGTTGTATCGGTACGTGCCGTCGTGTGTTCTAAATACATTCATTTCGTCGCAAACTACGATAAATGCAAGAGTGTCTTTCTAAATATAGAGTGTCTTCCATCGCAAGTGTCTTCCTTTCGACTACAAGTATCAAAATAAATTAACTGAAAAATTGATTCTGCTTTTACTTATTTGTTTACTAGATAATTCAAAATTAAAGATTTTTTGTTAAATTAAATTTTAACAATATAAAATAGTTAAAACTTGTTTAATAATTAATCTTTAAAGAATTCTCTTTTCAAGTCTACATTTTTTTCAAATTTAATTAAATATTGATAATTCAAATTGTAATAAATAATGATTTTATATAGAATTGTCGGTAAAAAAAAATCGATATCAAACGCAGTCGATTAGAAATAGCACAAAATACATTTCTAGATCACTGTATACATTTTACAACTACAGGCGGTTGCTTTATCATCGTTTCCTTTTCGTCGAGTACCGTCAGTTTCTCCTTATCGAAAACCTGCACTAGTACATACGTAAATCAGAAGAAACACGACCTTGTGAAAAAACAATTCTCGAATTGCGACTTTGTAGCTGTAAATTTTCCCAGCATTTAAGGATGTTTAAGTATAGTTACGGAGTTCCGGATAAATTCGTCATTAGAATAATAAAAGAGCGAGCGTGGCAAGAGGGGCTGCGAAAATCTTGAAGATATTTTCCAGCTTGACAGAATCTAAAGAAGATAATAAAATTATACAACATTGCGATCATCAATTATAAAAAGATAGTGAATTTATAACAAGAATTTATTTATTTTAATTATTATTTTTACTATTAATATTAATTTTCAACGATATTTATAAGAAATCTAATGCAAATATTATTTCTAATATAAAAGTGTTATTCAGCTATATTATATCATTCGTATAGCATATAAAAATGCGTATAATCAATTTCTTAATTAAATATATAAAAATGACGATAAAAAAACGTTACATAATGAAATATAAAAAGATTGTCTGAAAGTAAATTATACTGTCCACAACTGCAGAAAAATTAAATTAAACAGCATAGAAGGCCGCAAAATTCACCGCAGTGGCGTACAGAAACAGTGAGAATCTGTCGTCGCGGAAGTTGTAGAATCGTAACACCATAATTACAACTATAATTATATATGAATAAAACCGGCACGATAAGCATCTAATAATTCAATGTAATTACAAGAGTGATGCTTAAACGCTTCTGCCTCTGTGCGAGAAGTTGATTTTATAGGAGAGCTGATTTTATAGAAAAGTTTTATTGAACGAGGCCTTGATGTCGCTTGTAAACATATATTACAACGCAATTGTGCATAAAAATAATTTATTAAACAGATCGATCAAGTGTGCGTAAGAAACGAGATTTATGTGCAGATTGGCACATTTGTTCCCTTCGCCAGCCGTCTTCGATGAGATTAATGTCGTTAATGTCACGTCTATATTAATGATGTCTTTCTAATCTCGATGATGGAAGATCGACTGCACTAATTGCAAACGGGGTGGTTGATGTGAATCGGTGTGTCATGCGCATCTGACCGAGATATGTATTTTCCGAGACTTTGTAACGTCGAGTCGCAATCTAATCTTCGGCTCGATAATAATTTGGCGGACAACATATCATTAAGAATTGCCTACATCCGGACGGACATGTGGCCTTGAACATCTCCCCGCGACAGGATGAATACGAGAGAGCGATTTTATCGGCGACAGAAGTGAAACGACGATTCCGTAAATAGTATTGGGATACATCCGGTGTTATATTCAACGCCGTGTAATATATTTAAAGTAGCTCAAGTTTAAAGTAGCTCCTGTACAACTTGTCAGTTCAGCAAAAGAGAATCGCCATGTCTCTCCTCGCGTCCATGAGCTGATCCTTTCATCTAACGCCAATTATAATATTTCTGTTTGCTACGATCCGTGATAAATATATCTCTGGAATTAATTCTAACATCAAGGTTGACACACGTAATTGTCGATTTATCAATTTTTTTTATGCCGACCGACGCCCCTGGGATTTTTTTGCCATTGTACCGATAAGCGAGAAGCCGCGTTAAACCGTAAGTCTCAAGTTAATTATCTCTCGATGATCGATGTAAAAAAAGTAAAAAGATTTTTTCCGGTATAGGCCAGTTGCGTCGCTTTGCAGCACGGTGAAGGATAGCGTTGACGCAACGAGTCTCCAGAAACCTACCGACTTTTAATAAGTATGGTTCACGCTACGTGTATACGTTACGCAATCGCCGGTGCATCCTGTCGGATGTATGCCATTTCGCAATCATAAGCAGAGCAATGGTTACAGCTATCCCGAAATAGGAGGAGGCAGGAGAGAGGAAATTCGAGCCGATGTTTCGCGATGGATCACGTCTATCAAATCTTGCGTTTCGTAATGTCGCAAAAGCTCGACTGTCTTCTGGCTCTCAATTTTCGTACACGCTCCACTGATGAGTCGTCGATGATATAGTCGTAAGCCGGTAATCGCTGATAACGCACCGTGAAAATAGCTACAACTTCGTCGCTGACCGTCTTTGAAAATATGACAGGAAAGAGGTAACTTAAAAAACAGTTTAAAATGTATGACTTTAAAACAAATTTTCCGAATGATCTGATAACGTGTAAAGTTGATAATATAGTAATCATGATGAGTGTAACGATAATTGAATTGGTCGTTGCAGAAAAAGAGAAAGAGAGTGAGGAGGAGAGGGGGGGGGGGTGAGAACATGAATCAGTTTTTTGATTCTGATGCAAGATGAATTAATTAATTTTTTCCTGGAAAATTGCATATATTCTATAACAAATTTTGGACTGAAAATATTTGAATTGTATACAAAAATTTAAAAAAAAATAATACGTGCTTTAATATTAAAGAGTGATTGTAACTAGTTTGATTCGAAGTGACGAGCATTTCCTATTCTCGGTCGCAGACAGTCAACGACATCGAGCGAAACTAACTATCTTATCAAATTGGGAAGAAAAAATCTTTTATTTTCATTCGGTCGTTGCTTCATGCTCGGTACAACTAGTCGATGAAAATACGACGTGATCACGTGACATTGCCATATATTTGTAAAGCGACTGTGCGGGCGATGACAGCTTGAGCTGCGTAATTCAATGCAAAACTGCGGATAAAATATATCATTGCCGGTGATCGTGCGGGTCGATAAGACAGGCTGGCACGAATGGCAGAGGCAGCTTCCTTTGTTACATTCCGTACATGTCATTTCATGCGATGCATAATTACGGCATGCTCTACCTCTACAAGTAAGCTTCATTGTTGACTCAACGTGCAATTATAAGTCTCTTTGTAGCAAACGGATTTTGCATCCTATTCGCATAGATTAGTATCTATGAGTAGACCGACGGAACAAGGTATTTGTTTCATCTATCTAAAGGTACCAAAGAGGTTTGCTAATTCGTTAACTACTTTGCAAACTGGAAGTAGTTCAATATTTTGCAATCGTATTATTTAATAAAATGATTTAATGCTTTGCAGAATAAATCTGTTTAAAGCGGCGATTATCAGAAAATATAATTAGAAAGAATAATGGATAATGGAAAGATAATGGAAATAGATAGTGAATATGTCACATATATTCAATTAACTCTATTTTGTTACAACAAAAATGTTAATGATTTTTTCCGATTTCTATATTTTAATGACAAGTATTTTAATAAACCTCGCATTAAAATCGCATGTATTAAAATTTTCATTTAATATTAATTGGAAAATGAAGTGTTATTATATAAGCACAATTAAATCTTTATTTACAATGTTGAATAATTTAAATTCGAACTTTCTCCAAATTTTCACCAATAAAGAGTTGATTAAGATTCAAAGAACATATTCTCAATTTATTCCCAATTAATTCTTAATTTATAACAATTATCTAAAAAGTAAGAAAAGGATAACTCTTTGCCTAACTCTATTTCTTCCAAAACAGATAATAAGTGTATAATGAGCATCAATATGATATTCTGCGAGATTTTAAATACTCCAATTGATTCGCTACTGCGCATATAAATATGTAAATTTGATTAATTAATATTCAGTGCAATTATCTTCAATTATTATCTTCAATTATTTCTACATAAAAGAACAGGTAACCATATTTGTCAGATTTAACTATTTTCTAACATTGTTCAACGATTTCCTTGCTTGTTCGACACGTTGACCGATATGATGACGATCGACTAATGCTAATAAGCAATAAAAATGAATTACTCTCGAGCGATAACACCTTGAGTGACGACTTTCGTTCCTTCATTCGGTACTCACCTGGAAAGAGGATCGACGAACAGAGCGACGATGATCACCGCGACGATAACGCATGTGAGGTAGATCGCGGAGATCTCATAGATCTCGGACTCCGGCGGTCGCTCCAGGTTCTCATGGCCTCCGTTGCCAAGGACGCAAAAATCCGCGCCGCACAGCTTGATTTTGTCCCAGCTGGTCGTGCTGTTACTATTGCCGCCACCACCATGTCCGCCATCGCTTAATACTGCAATTTGAAAGTGATCTCTGATTGTGAATGATTTTCTTGAACTTTCTCTAATATAACTTAAATTTAAACTTAAACTTAAACTCTTTCTAATATAACTTAAGAAAACAAAGATAAAGAGGACCAATTCTTGTTCTCAAAATAAAGCTTATTATTTAGCTTATTATTATTCGTAGACACATTAGTTTTTTTTTTTTTAATTAAAATATTTCTTTCGTATTTTAGTAAATTTTAAATTTTTAAAGAGCATTATTACTGTTTGTTTATGTTATAGATTTGTTTATAATTATCATATAATTTACAGATAATTAATAATTTATAGATTTATTAAAAATATAATAAAACATAAATCTATTTAAAAATATTTAATTCAAAAGTTCTGTATATATTTGTTCAATCATGTAAGATATTTTAACTACATAAAAGACTGTCATTTTTAAATGTAATAAAAAAA